TTTATATTATATTATATTATACATATTTTATATTATATTATATTATATTATATTATATTATATTATATTATATTATATTATATTATATTATATTATATTATATTATACATATTTTATATTATATTATATTATATTATATTATACATATTTTATATTNCGTTTATGCTATTTCATTATATACAATTAGTACAAACTATTAGTGCATATTATTAGTACATACTACTAATTAAATTTCTCCCTTAAGCGATGCTCTAATTCCGGTTTGATATTTCACCGCAATACAAGACTATGAAATTGATTTCCGCAGGTATCGCCTGGCTGATCATTCCCCAAAAATGGAACGTGAATCTGCTGGGCAAAACAATAGAGATCAGTTCCTGGAGGGTGTTTTTGGCGATTTGCTCGTTGCCAGAATTTCTCGCCTGTTTAGCGATGTTCGCGTTCCCGGAGAGTCCTCGTTTTTTGCTTTTGAAAGGACGAAGGGAAGAGGCTCTGGCGGTTTTCAAGAGAATATACGCGGTCAACACCGGCAAAGATCCGGACACATATCCGGTACGAAATACTGAACAATATTTCCCGACCAGTTGCTGAATAATCAAAATAAATTTTGCTTTTTACTCGGAACAATAAACAAAACGGAAAGAAGTTGTTTCATTCGAAACAAAAGGAGAACAAAATTTAATATGTCTCGTTCGACGGAGATCAAAATAAACGACTCAAAAGCACAGCAATTGGTCACTCCGCCTTAACGGGCTGCGCTATCCTAATCAATTCTAAACGCTTAACACCTTAGCTGCCCCATTAGTCACACCTGACTAACACGATATTTCTGTCAGACACGAGAATGAATTAAGTAGGGTAGTCCTTTGTCGGAATAATTGCTATAATAAATCGCGTCTATTCTACTATTGCGTTATTAGCCCTCTGCACTCGGATATCCTCCCTTAGCGACATTTTCATTTCGAAACTGCCCGATAATACAACGTTCTTAAAGCATCTACAAGGATAGCAGAAACATTGCAGTCATTTGCTAATTCGATAACAATCTTCGTTCACAGATCAAGGATCTCGCAGAGGAGTTCGACTCCGTCGAATCGTCCGCCGACAATATAAAAGCCAAGGTGCGCTCGTGCCTCCAGCAGATTAAACCGCTTTTCGTTCCGCCGAATATCTACAAGCTTTTCGCAATAGGTCTGATTCAGCTTGGCGCCACGATAGGGTTAGAGTCGAACAATCTTTCTACTTGGACGGTAACGTCACTCTGACTCTTCAAATACGAATAAAGAAGTTCGAAGCTCTCGTTCTGATAAAACGGTTTCCGAACATTTCTGGAAACAACGAACAGATCGATCGAGATGATGATTCTTAAGATTTGTCTCTTAATCTTAAGACTTCAGATGTATTTCAAAAGTCAATGGTGGTGAACACAGTCGAATGCGCCGGATTAGCGCACGCGATTAACCGAACATCAATTTGCAATTCGTAGATCGAACTCGATCAGACTGTGGATGCCGCAGCTGTTCTCCATGATGGAACATTTCAAGAATAATTACGCGAAGCTTGAGTATTCGAGCTCGCAGCCACGCTTTTGTTACATGCTCGGGCAGGGGCCAGCAGAGAGCAGTTCGGGAACGAGTTTCGCAAACGCAACTTTAAGCACTGCGACCGAAGTGTGCATACCGGTATTATACATTTCAAATTGTAACATTTTATCGTCGTTTTTTGTTAAATTATAATTGGGACAAGTCGCATTTCCATTCCAATCGTAATTGAACGAAATTATACAAATTTTATGATATCTCATTTATGGATATCTCGAGAAGAACATAATTGAGAAGAATGGAAATGATTCTTCTCCTCTCTCTCTCTCTCTCGCTCTCTCTACATATCTCTCTCACTCTCTATCTCTCTCTCTCTCTCTCTCTCTCTCTCTCTCTATATATATATATATATATATATATATATATATATATATCTCACTCTCTATATATATCTCTCTCTCGCTCTCCCTCTCTCTCGCTCTCACACCCAAAAAGGAAGTAATAATTAATCCTGGTTTCCATAATTATCTTCCAGATCTCTTATTAAAACCTCCGAACGAATCTTACGTAAACCTAAGTTCGAATCGAACATTTCGCGAGACCACGGTGAAAAGCGTGACTTTAACACTTTCGAGCCCTTATTTGTATCTTTTATTTCAGGCGGTCTTGAACGCGAAAGTCTTCATTAATTCCATCGTAATCTCTACGACCGGAGTGGTAGGCTATACTTTGGCTGGCTCGTTGATTACAGTCGTAGGGAAAAAGAAACTAATAGGTAAAGTTACCGAATTCACAAACGTGCTTGCTTAAACGAACGTGTAACGTAACCAAGTCGTGATAAATCGTATGGGAAATCGCGTTTCCTTTACATAGAAGTATCGCGACATTATCGTGTGTTCGTTACTTTAATTATTACATTCGAATCGCTTCGTCGACTTGAAGAAGAAATTATATTTCACGCAAAGCAGAAATTATCTAATTTCTAAATTAAAAATAATAAAACCAGTCGAAACGATTTATTATTTCGATTTGATTTATTATCTTTTATGTTTTATTCGAAACACAACGTGTTAACGAAATGTATTTTCAGCTACCTGTTTCGCGGTAGCCGCAGCTTGTTGCGGTTCCTTGTACTGGGCACAAAGTACCGACAGTATTCTCGGATTATGTTCCGTTTTCGTAGCCATGTCGAGTATAGGCGGTGCCTGCGTCGTCAACATTATTGTCGACAATTTTCCGACGTGTTTAAGGTACAACAATAGAGAGAATATAGTTAATTCTCACCGATGGCCCTTCAGCTATTATCAACCGATTGTCAACAACTATAAAAATAGACAATACTTCTAGGCAATAATATCGAATAATATCGAAAAGGCTCGAATTTTTGCTTGCAAGCTGGAGGACAATTGGGGAGAATTTACTGTGATCAGTCTTCCCCCGTTCTAACGCGTGACTTTCTTTCAGAACCATGGCAGTTAGTTTGACTATGATGGTTGGCAGAGTGGGAGCCGTTTTAGGGAATCTACTGTTTCCAGTTTTGTTCAAACTGTCTTGCATAGGTCCCTTCATTCTGATCGGTTCCGCGTCTCTAGGTAAAGTATCTTGCTTGCGCTTGGCTAAACGTCTTGATTCACAGAGTGTTCCGAAAATGTCTCGCAATCCGGAAATGGGGAAAGGTTCCTGAGGTCATTTGAAGCAACTTTTTCTTTAGCGAAAATGCAATCCGCGGCCTCGTTTACGAGTTATTAACGAAAAACAGTGACCAATGAGAGATCGCGTACGGCTGACGCCCCGCCCTCGCGACCACTGCCGTTGCGTCAGACGGTCAGCGTGACGTGGCATTGGCCGCAGGGCGGAACACCGGCTGCACTCGCTCTCCGATTTGCCAGTGTTTTTCCTCAATAACTCGTAAACGAAGCGGCGGTTTGCATTTTCGCTAAGGAAAAAGTTGCTTAAAATAATCTCAGGAATCCTCCGCATTGCGTATCGATAATACTTCTTACATTTCTCATTCACATTACAGTATCGGCCTTTCTAGTGGCCCTGCTGCCCAGAAAGCATTCGGAAGAGGCTAAATCGAAAGACGTTATTTGACAATAACTCCTCACGGACGTTCACTTCAATCCGCCCGATTGAAGCCTCAGGATCTAGCTTGTTCCAACCAAGTATACCACANAGACAATACTTCTAGGCAATAATATCGAATAATATCGAAAAGGCTCGAATTTTTGCTTGCAAGCTGGAGGACAATTGGGGAGAATTTACTGTGATCAGTCTTCCCCCGTTCTAACGCGTGACTTTCTTTCAGAACCATGGCAGTTAGTTTGACTATGATGGTTGGCAGAGTGGGAGCCGTTTTAGGGAATCTACTGTTTCCAGTTTTGTTCAAACTGTCTTGCATAGGTCCCTTCATTCTGATCGGTTCCGCGTCTCTAGGTAAAGTATCTTGCTTGCGCTTGGCTAAACGTCTTGATTCACAGAGTGTTCCGAAAATGTCTCGCAATCCGGAAATGGGGAAAGGTTCCTGAGGTCATTTGAAGCAACTTTTTCTTTAGCGAAAATGCAATCCGCGGCCTCGTTTACGAGTTATTAACGAAAAACAGTGACCAATGAGAGATCGCGTACGGCTGACGCCCCGCCCTCGCGACCACTGCCGTTGCGTCAGACGGTCAGCGTGACGTGGCATTGGCCGCAGGGCGGAACACCGGCTGCACTCGCTCTCCGATTTGCCAGTGTTTTTCCTCAATAACTCGTAAACGAAGCGGCGGTTTGCATTTTCGCTAAGGAAAAAGTTGCTTAAAATAATCTCAGGAATCCTCCGCATTGCGTATCGATAATACTTCTTACATTTCTCATTCACATTACAGTATCGGCCTTTCTAGTGGCCCTGCTGCCCAGAAAGCATTCGGAAGAGGCTAAATCGAAAGACGTTATTTGACAATAACTCCTCACGGACGTTCACTTCAATCCGCCCGATTGAAGCCTCAGGATCTAGCTTGTTCCAACCAAGTATACCACATGTAAATACACTATGTCCCTGTTCGTTCATCAACGCGTAATTCGGTTGCATGATCCTCCATCATGTAAATATGTAAATACGGTACAGCTACGTTCATATAGCGTAAGATTTTCGTACGTTTCATGTGTATACATGGAATTATAATAAGTGCACTATACAACGTGTAGAGTGCGTGTCGTAAGTGAGATCTTTTTTAAAAACGAATCTCGTGACTGCATCGTTTGCAATCGTTGTAGGAATGTTGTTTCTATGTTGTTTCCGATCGTTCGATCGACAAGCGAGTTTGCTGGAAAATAGAATAAGTAGCGCAGTGAAATAATTTAATGAATATGCAACAGCTTCGTTGTACAATAAATCTATTTTATTATTTTAGAATAAATTAAGCTTTCTTTTATTTCCTTTACCTGAGACGCGTCAGCCAAGCCTGGAATGTGTTTGGTTGGCCAATAAGTCATTACGTTTTATAGCTGTATTGCCATTCTGTTAAATATGGAGAATTAACTTATTGGCCAATCCACTAGGAACTCTGAGAGAACAGCCGAAGCATATAATAATTAGATAACTCCTTCCTTGACACGATAGCAAATTCTTTCAATAGAAAAATCCAGATCATTCTAGACAGGAATTGTTCCACCCTATTACAACACATGCAAACATCGTCCAACTCTTGTAAACATACCTATTATTTTTCTGTGATCGATAACTTCGACAGCCATTTTCTTCAAATGAAAAAAAGGTTAATAGACTTCGCCGCAAAACGTCTTTTCCTGGTGCGAAATTCGGCATTTTCGAACAACGACAATTAATAATGAACTGGCCTTTAATGGCCAAAACACCGCAGATGCCATTAGTCTATACTAAGGAATGTATTAGTAACGCCATCTCTTGCACAGAATCGACGCTATTAACCGAAACACCTATTACAGATTATTCTTACCGTGGCAAATGACAGATGCTGCCATTTTTCTATGATTACATATAAAATATTGTACTAAAAGATACGTAGTTTTATTTATTTATAGACTATAATAAATGATAATAAAGAGTTCGTAATTCATGCTTGCATGTATACGTATCTTTATTACACCTTCTATATTTATAAGATTTACTATCCTTTGCAATCATTTATAGAATGATCTTCGTACTTTCTTTGCATGTGTGCTCTCTAAAAGAAAGCACTATGCATATGTACCTACACGTATGTATGTAGTACTCTTTTCCGCCTCCAGTTTACCAGGCAGAGTATTTTACGAAGAATCATGGCGTCCATTATTAAAGGTGCGGCATGTGTAGATTGATTACAAATATATAATTTTTCAAATATACATATTAATGTTATAATTAATTACCATAACGTTTCGCGATGTCACGTTTCCATAGACACTGGTGAAATTTGGAGTCGACTTTTTGATCATCGACCGTTCATTCAAGGTGAAATCACATTCTTTCTGCGAGAGTTTCAGGTAAAAAATTATTGAATCGATGGCAAGAATTTTTTCGTGAACAAAAAGCTGAATAGATGAAAGTCCTTACTGTATATCATTGTATTAATTACTGATTATTACGTGCCCGTATTTCAAATGAATTGAAACTGCTCATCGTATATATAACCTAAAAGTCAGTATTGTTAAAAAATTGAATAATGTAAAATTCGAAGATAAATCTCTTTTTATTCTTGAGTTGAATTTCAGAAATAAACAATCACAGTAATTGCACGTTTATAGGAAAAGAGAGGAGATAGAGAAGTGGAACGTCTTTTCAAAATACTCGAATACTCGACTGAACTAAAGGAAAATCAATTGGATCGTACAGAACAACTAGGAGATTGCCATTTGCCTAGTTTAAAAGCAAATGTTGATGTAGCACTGAGCATGTGTGAAAGAGTACTTCAGAGAGAACAAGATTTTGATATTGTACTGGTTTTTCTTTAATAAGTTCTCAATACTATGATAAAAGTGTTAGGGTATATCCTACATTTGTAATTAACATTTATGTTTAATAATTTATTTAGGATAAAACATTGGAAGACAACAGAAAAATCAGGAAATTAGAATGGGAGAAATTTGTCAATGATATGAGCGAGAAGTGTGAGAAAGTAAATCAAACTTTTGAGGAAAAGGAAGATGAAATAAAAGAATATTACACTGATCTGGAAAAAAAATTGCATATCGCATAATAAATTCTTTCTTTGTTATTCTATTACAGATATTTTTTATTTACACGTAGTAGACGTATAATATAAAATATAATATCAGTTCTTTATGTAATGCATAAAACTGTGCTGATCGTACCATTTTGCTAATAATAGAAAGTTTGTATGTAAAGAGAAAAAATAAGAATGCCAGTTGAAACAATCGAAGACCCATCTATTAGAATAACATCAAGTAAAACATTAACAGAATTTGTTATAAAAAATGTTAAAAAAGCAAATGACACTCCAGCAAATATTATTGCAATAAAAAAGTCAAGCAAGGACAAAGAAAACCAGGTTTCTTTGAATCTGGATGATATAAGGTGGTTAAATAAATATTTAGAAGATCATAGAAGAACGAAAAAAGAAAACGTTTATTTGCATGAACTCTTAGAAGAAACAGATATAAAATTACCTATACCAAAGGTTACACCAAGAAATCCTGAATTGGAGGCTAGAATAAAGAAATTAAAAGCACAACAAGATGCTAGAGAATATCAAGCTATGACTAAAAACGTTGACTCTATTAGAAAAAATTATCCAGAAGACACTATTTCTTATCAAAGTAAGAGGTTTTAAAATTATAATATATATTTTTGTAATCAATTTTATGTACAAGCTTTCAATTATAAATACTTTCTTTGTTTTCAGTGAAGCAAATAAATAAGCAACTCATAGCTGTTGCACAGTTTATATTTTCTGTATTAGCAGGCTTTGCTTTCGGATTTATAGGTGTAGAATTAATAGTTGGGAATTTAGATTTTGGGTTTAGGTTATTATTGGGCATAATTTGTGCATCGATTATAGCTCTGGCTGAAATTTACTTCTTAGCTATTAAACTGAATGAGGACGGATACGAGTCAGTATCATCAACATCTAAAAAATTACATCAAGAATAAAATTTACAAATTTTTGCCGTAGAAGTGTATTCTTCGAAAACTTTTGCAATTTCTATAAATAATATTAAAATGAAGCAAACTAATTTGTAATATGCTAATATTTATATTAGCAAAAATAAGTAGTGATAGAGCTAAGAAGAAACAAGTATTACAAAAATTAATGCATTTATTTTGTTTTAATATTTGATCGAAGTAGCAAAAAGCTTCTTAGGTTGCTACAATGTGAAAATAAATAAGGCCTTTTTATGTATAAAATGTAAAAATGTACTTGCAATATATCTATAGAATATGCAATTCTATGACCAAGAAGTTCCAACAAGAATGAAGAATGTTTCATTCAACATATAAATAAATTCAAACAAATCCATAAAAAAATACCAAACTTCTAATACTATTATTTTGAAGTACCAAGTAATTATGAAGTTTAATTAATTTCTTATTAAGTTTGGATTACTTTGTAATGATTTGGTAAGTCTACCTTACAAAAAAGTTTATCAAAATAAATGTCTATAGTCACATTTCTTTGTTTAGTCTTCACTGTCACTTTTTCCACTGGCTTCGCTTTGGTCACTGACTGAATGACATTTACCATTTGCTTTTGTATCACTTCCATGATCACTATTTGATAAGTTTTCTTCTGTTTTCCTATTATCACTGTCAGAACAAGAATCTGTGTCCGATTCACTGTCACTGTCTGAATCTGAGCTACTTTCTGAACTACTGTTAGAATTCTTGGCAGCCATCATTTCTTTAAACTGTCTAACTGTTATCTTTCTAGGCATTATTTCTCTTAAAAATTCCAACGTATCATTAGTTTGTACAACTTCTGCCAAATGTTTATAATCTAATAAATGTCCTTTATTGCTTTGTAAATGTGCTTCTTCTGTCAGATAATGTATAAATAGTTCCTAAAAAAATAAATTAAAATTACTCCTATATTTTTATTATAATAGAAAGTATTCTGAAAATTTGTCAAGCGTAACTGTTCTCATATGCAAAATAAAAATTTGTTGTCACTTAACATGACTTAACCTCAACTTACCGTAGCTTTTGTGACTAAATATAAACAATCCTGCCCGATGATGTCAACATAAGGAGAACTTTTCATAATTGTTTTTACTCTTGCCATAGGCAAACGTAATTCTCTAATTTTAGATGGTGATCCTTGTGCACTCATTTTGCTTTAAAACTGATTTGTTCCAAACTCAAATGTAAACGACTTGAACACTAATCAATCACTAATGTAACTATGAGCACCAGTTGCCGCCAATTTTCAAATTTCATGAATTATATATCTATATATATATACAATGTATGCATTTACGATTGTATAAAGCAGATATTTTGTTGTTGATATTTTTTTAAAGCAATATGCAATTTTAATTAATAATCTTTTTTATAATATTCATGATTTCTTAAAAATTGTTCTGATGTTGAAAGTATAAGAGAATTATATTTGAAATATTTCTCACATTAAGACATTAAGTATAATAATTTATCCTTTTAATTCAATACATTTTAAAATTATATATTAATCTATAATAAATACTCGTGAACTTGTACGGGGGCAACAGGCTCAATACAGACGGGGATGGAAGCCTCCAGATTTTTATGCTCTAAGGTTTTCAATCTCTCATAAAAATCCCTAGGCGTTTCAGAAAAGTTTTTTTTAGATATTTCTTAAAAAGAATAAGTGAGCAATTAAAACTAATTGGTGAGCAATGAATGAGCAATTTTTAGCTGTTTCATTAATATATTTCTATAGTGAGCCAGTTTCACACCTTGCCGTATTATAATGACCGACAAATGGTGTAAAGAGGGAAATTCAAATGTAAAATATAACGTTATGGTCATGGTTGTAGACTACATACCTTATGTAGTTCTCTCTCGTTCAGTCCCCGACCTCGAAATCTTCGCGCGTAACCTTTCACGACTCTTGTTTTGGCGGGCCTTTTCCCTCGCGTGCCGATCAACTCCCATGAGCCCTCACCCTTGTGCGCGCGCCGCCGAACCACCTTCCACCACCAATCATGATCGAGCTGGAACCGGAAGACAGGCCGTCCGACAAATCAGCGTCCAGCTGGAGAACTTCAATTTTCCTATTGGCCAAGAAGAAAGGACGGATCTGGAAGAAGATTCAAAACTTCACGAAAAACGGCAAATTTTATTCGATAATCATAGAAAACGCATCTTAGAGCTCGTAAAATAAAGTATTTTCATTTTCTTACGTTATATTATCGTTTAATTTGTTCTCATACAAATCCTCCATGAGCAGAGTGCTTCAGGGCTCCACAGGCACCCGACCCACAGAATTCCCCAAATTCCACCGAACAATACGCAATATCATACTAGCATAGCTTATACATGTGTTCACTCTGACGTCACGTAGATGATTTCATCCTTGCTCCAGGGAAATGGTCGAAGCCGTGTCTATACGTACTAACAACACTGATAGGTATACATACATATATGGTCTAAGGTTCTACAAGTCTGTAGTATCACTTATTCTTACACTGCGGTATGTATGCACATACCTACGTTGCTCGTGTTTCGAACATAATTTTATATATCTAGGATCCATCATTAGAAGCTTGTTCATTAAAAGGGGTTTTCAAAGTAATATTTATACATACCTATATGCTAACCATGAAGCATTATATAAGTTCTGCTGTAATTCTTCGTGTTCGTAAAAACACCATTTTCATTCTTTCAGGATAAATAAAGACCTATGATCATAATTGAGGCCACAAATCGAGGTCAGGAGTGCTGCATTCAAGCAGAGATCTCCGACTGCGCTTCCCCACTACAAAACACGGAAAAATTATAAGAAGTACATTATTGTTAAGGCTCTGGATTTTACACTTCTACGTACATAACTTTTTCTTTTTGCTATTTGCTTTCATTCCTCCCGATCTCTACCATCTATCCTTCCTTTCGTTCTATGATCTTCTTCTACCTTACGTTTGACACCATTTATCTGTCTCTCTTATACTCATCCTCTGCGCGTTCTCTCTTTCTTGCCCACTCTCCCTTGCCTTCTCTCGCTCTCTCTGTTCCACGACACTTCAAGTCCTTCTCTGTCTCTCTTAATCTTTCGTGCTCTGTCGAATCGAACTAGCCCCCTTCCTGCGAATTTACGTGGATATTTCTACTTGTGAACGGTTCCCAACCTTCAGGATGCAGGCCATTAAGTGCGTTGTCGTAGGCGACGGGTGAGTATTTTCAAATTTATTATAATGTTTGTCAATTGTTTATTTTTCCCAATTTTCGATCCATACCACGATCTACAGATTTGACGACTGGTTTTTCCTGATCGAGAACTATTTCAAAGCAGGCACCACACCCGTTATTCTTTTGAATGTATTTTTGTCAATTTCTTTGTTAACTTTTCGATATGAAAAAGGAAAATTTACGCTTTATTTTCAAGTCATTTGCTCGTGTATAATTAATTTTCTCGATCTTTTTCTTCCATTTTCGTTATCTGTTTTCTCCCCTTCCACTCTTTCTTCCATGTTCAGGTTCACTTGTAATTTCCACTGTACTATCAACATTGCACAATGAAAGAGGAATTTTCTGTTTCCGTTTAACCTGTAATTAACCTTTCTCTGATAAAGATTGTTATTATGGATTTATATGGTCAGTTTAATTTTCTGTAATTGGTTGATTTCTACAGAGCCGTAGGTAAAACATGCCTTCTCATAAGCTATACTACCAATGCCTTTCCCGGGGAGTATATCCCGACTGTGTTTGACAATTATTCTGCAAATGTTATGGTGGATGGCAAACCGATCAATCTTGGTTTATGGGACACAGCAGGCCAAGAAGATTATGACAGACTAAGACCATTGTCGTACCCTCAGACAGATGTCTTTTTGATTTGTTTTTCTTTGGTCAACCCTGCCAGTTTTGAGAATGTACGTGCTAAATGGTATCCAGAGGTGCGTCATCATTGTCCAGCCACTCCGATTATATTAGTAGGGACTAAATTAGATTTGCGTGAAGACAAGGAAACAATTGAACGATTAAAAGATAAGAAATTGGCACCAATCACATATCCCCAGGCATGTATTATTATTTTATTAATCACTTATTATTAATTACATTTCTAATCAGGGACTTAGGATCGAACATTTTGTAAAGTCATTGGTTACTGATTCATCTATAAATGGATCTTTGCAGTATCTCTGCTGCACTAAAAGAGTATGCCAGTACAATTGAGAAACAACATTAAAATTAAATTTATTAAAATATTCTATAACGACCTCTTAAAATTATTGCAATTACTATCAATAATCTACTATAATCAATCTACATTTGTATGTTGCCAGTTTTCATTTGGTGAATATAATAACTGTTCAAAGACTTATGATTAAGAATCCAAAAAAAAGGAGTAATGAATAAAGAATACTGATAATAATACTAGTAATTAACAATTATGCTATATAGGAGCATATTGGAGTATTATATAGTTATGATATAATATACTTACACTAACATAAGTCCCTGTATTAGATTCATAGATTTAGCACTTTTAAATACATTGTAGTTAGATAAATTGTAAGTAATAATTTAATTTAAAATTATTATTAGGGTTTGACAATGGCAAAAGAGATTGGAGCAGTGAAGTATTTAGAGTGTTCGGCTTTGACTCAAAAAGGATTGAAAACAGTATTTGATGAAGCAATCCGTGCTGTATTGTGCCCAGTTCTGCAAATGAAACCAAAACGCAGATGTTTCCTCCTATAATATTAAATGTCCGACGACGGCGGAGCACGTATAACTGTATTACTTCTCCTCCGATCGGACTTGATTGCAGCAGAACATCTAACTCTGATAAAGGAAAATGCTGTATGGTCCATCCCTCTACAAGCATCTGCCATAAAAGCGCACAAATAAATTTGTATAATGCGTATAAAAAAGGTAAAAGAGAAAATATACGCAATTTAAGTGTTTTGGACATAGCTAAATGTTCTGAACAGAGAAAGGAAGCCAAATGAAAACTGAACTGATAATGTACAGTATATTAGAGTGTGTTATTAATATTAGTTATTACATATGAAACATAAGGAAACAAACATTACTATGTATGTGCGTTTGTGTGCACACTGAATACTAATCAATTTAATCGAAGAGGTAAACCATTTTATGCAATTTTGCATTGTATATTTTAGATAAAAAATGTTTATCCATTTTTAAAAGCTTTAGTATAGGAAAAAATTAATATAGCGTAAATATTAACATTCAAAGTATTAAAATATTGCACTTATGTAAACAATAATTTGTTTATCTTTTACGTTACTTTTCCATAACAAGCATTTTTCTCTGATAAGTTGGTCTTTTCCAGCTAATAATTCCATATGGAGTCGATTAGCTGTACAAAAAATCTGTATCTTTCGTGGTAAATATACAGTTGCAAATCACATAAAATGACTTCTACCTTTAACTAAATTGGTTGATATTACTATATACATACCATGGTAAAAGATAGATAGTCATCTAAGTTTTAGAGGTGAGCAATACAAGTGCGATTTTAATTCTCTGCCTCTTCACTGCGTTTTCATGTTGCTGTAATTGATACGCACAACATGGCAAAAGAAACAAATTACAAAAATTTAATATCGGAGGTGGGGAAATTTCGTGTGCGTGAGTGTATGTTTGAACGAGTGCACGTAAAAGCCAAGAGAGAAAGACGGAAGAAGGAATTATTCTATAGCAAGTAATTGTACATAAATGGTAAAAGTTCAAACTGTATTCCTATTACTATCATTTTACATGTATAAGCTGCTGAATCTAAATCGAACGTTACTTGTTTTTTATATATATATTATAAATATATATAAAGTGGGGCTGGACCGAGATCTATTTCAATCGTCGCAGATCCACTGACCTGTGCAATTTATCCGGGGAACGGGGATTCAGTCCATAAAAAATATCATAAATAATGTAACTAAATATGCTTTATTAAATGGGTGTTTATTAAAATTTTCTAGTTATTCATTATGCTGTCGTGTCAAAAAATGTATAAATCATTGCAGAAATCTGTTCAGGAGTATATTTTATATATTTATTTGGGTTCTTTGAAAACGATATTCCGCGATATTTGTTATGGAAAATCGTGTAGAGAGGGACTATAGCTTGCTGTAGTTCTTTCCGTAACTCTTCTCGTAATCGAGCATCAGGTACAGAATATGAGCGTTGACACTTCGCGACTTCTTCTAATTCCCTCGTGAATCCTAAGAATTTTTCTTTCAACGTTTTTGCTCCTGGTTCTGTGAATATGATAATATCGTTATGAATTTGTGTCCTTACCAACTTCGCCTTAAACATTATACAATTCACGCGTATTATTATTAATTACCGTAATTACGTTATATGATTTATATGTTTTACGAAATTTATATATTTTCAACATTACCAGTACGACATTTAAAAAAATTTTAAATAATTTGTCATAGACATACAATTTTATATGTAAAAATAAACGAACGATAAAACGTAGTCTTTTATTTTCAATTGTAAAACATAATAGTATTTAGAGAAACAAACCTGGTTCGTCAATGGGCTGTTCAAGGTAAGTACGTGCTTTCGAAAATGTAGTTGATACGTAATTGCTTTTATCTCGCAATAAAAGGTCATTATACGAGTGTTCAGCACTAGGTTCTGCTAATAAGAGTAGTTCCATTAAAGAACTACGACGTAAAGCATTTACAACATGATTATGATTATTCAAACGAAAGAGAGCTCGTAGCGCAACATCTGAGTAACAAGTATCACTTTTACTTACAAGCGCTAAATTTAATTGTGCTAATACTTTTTCTAAAATATAAAGGAATTATGTTAAAATATTTAACGATATTGTTTATGAATTCTTAAAAAGAAATGAAATAGTACTAACTAATATACGTTCCTAAAACGATTCTGTACATATTCTCAGATTGTTTTACAGAAATTGTGCCTTCCATATCGGTGCTACGTCTTAAAACAATTCCAGCAGTATCTGCATATTCTGCTAACTGCTCCAAAAATACTAACACATTGCTTGTACTTTCTGCGACAGTTCCGTCTTTAGGTAAAACTGAATTAGATTCGTTTCGAACACTTTCCGCGAAATCTTCTAGAGCTTTTGCTCCCTATAAAAATTACACACTGTAACATTTTAATAAAAAGACCATCTATAAGTTTCAGTTTACTATAACTTACAGTTACATTTAGAGTATTAAGCACAGAAGTAAATTTGGACCGAAGGGCGTAGTCGCAACCTTCGACAGTCCGTTCCAAATCCGGTTTTAGTTCTCCAAGATGTTTTAAAATCGGGAAAATTACTAGTACTGCTGAAAAATCACGTCGTACAATACATCTTTTAGCACGAGTTGCTATACTCTCTCCATCATGAGCTACTAGATCCATAGCTTCACGCACGGTAGCTTCTAAAACTTGGGCCTGCAAAGTAATTGGCAAAATCTTGGCAACCAGTGATCGTTCAGCTTGCATGAGTTTGTGAAGTCCAACTGTTAGTAATAAATAATTTTCCATTTCTTGTTCATCCGGTGCTGTGTCCTCTACACAGTGCCCAGACAATTGCGGTGGTGGTTTCCTAGATGTAGTCAAAGATAATCCTAAACCAGTAGTTTGAGAAGCTTTCAGTAACATTCTACTAGCTTTTTTTTCAATAGCATGTTGTAATCTTTTAGAAGCTCTTCTTCCACTAGCCTCTTGACCACCTAACGAGTGTCTGTTGCCAAATTTAGCTTTCTGTTAAATATAACACAATTGTGAATCCTTAGCAAATTAGCTGTGTACATTATTATAAAATACTTACTGGCAAGGGACTTCCAGCATGTGTACTACCACCACTGGCACTCCTTTGATGTTCCTTCAACAATTGCAATGATCTTAACACTATTGCAGAACGCACAGATGCATATATTTTTACATGTTTACGATGTCCTCTTTCCTCGAGCCATCCAGCAATTTTCAGTAAATCCCCCAAAATGCTTTCTGGCAATTGACAAAGAGATTGCGGTGCATCTTCACCACTAGTGTCTTCATCAGAACCAATTAAATCCAAAAGTACAATTGGTAATATTGGTTTACTTTGTCTTGTTAAAATATCATGGAATTCTGCATATAAAGCATCTAATCCAATGACAAATAAACTAGTCACATTTTCTAATTCTACCGAACTCGGATTATTTTTTTGGAAATAACGCTGTGCATTAAACAGGCGATTCATAGCTTCCAAAAAACTGTCTAACCCTCCAGATCCTCCTGGACCTGCTTGCACTGCTCCTTCTACTTCCTGACAAACTCCATAATATCCAATTGCATGATCTAAAGCATTTAGAGTTCTTTCTATGTCTAAAAAAAATAAATATACAATTTAAGTTAATGAATTTTAGTCAAAAATATAAAAATAATATGGTTTTGTTCAAAGAAAACATTTTTCAAACAAATATCAATAGATGAGATATGATTGCAAAACATGTACTTTGCTGTTGTGCTTGAAGATTTCCTGTTTCATTGTAAACAGGGAGTATAGTACGCCGTAATGTTGCAAGACGTTGTTCTAAAGAAGACAGTATACCAACAACGCTATTAGTTAATTTCCTACTTCGTTCTTCTGCTTCTTTTAAAGTTTCTAACGAGGCAATTTCTGTTTCTAATTTGCATTGTATTTCAAATCTTCGTTCAGATGTGTCTACTTTTGTAATATGCATCATTTTATCTATAAACAATTAAATGTCAGATATTAAAAAGATATGAAGTACAGAAATAAATGTAAACATAATAAATACTTTATTTATTTTGCAGTTATTGTTGTTACAGATATATAATATATGCAGCTCTAAAACACACACGCTCAGCCATATATATATCCTTATATACACACATATATATACATATATACTTGTCAAAAATTATAACTTACGTGGCAATGATCTTGGAGGTTTCTAAATATATAATTATAAGCAACGGAAATTAATTTAACTTCATAAATATTTATACATTATGTTACATAATGTCATTCATTCATAAGAGAACATAAATTTGACAGTTCTAGTTTTTACGTAATTTTATAACACAAATTTTTAAGGTTACGTGCAGTTCAGTGTCATGATGATCAATCAGGGAGGAACAACTCTGTCGTCAACTTTTGGGACTATGTTTTGACTGCCATCTATAGTAAGCAGAAACTTTTTTCGAATCAAAATTCAGTATAGCGGTTCAGACGCGGTAATTCAATTGTTGGATTCTAGAAACAGAATGTATTAAATCGATCTTTTTTAAATTGTCACGCTGGGCTGTGCGATCGAGAATATTCCGAGGCAACAGTATAAGTCGAATATCTCTCCGAATGTTTCAGATGAAGCGCGAAGCAAACAGATGCGCAAATACAATGAGATCACAAGCACGGTAACGTGCCCATGCAAAAAATGAATTTACACAGAGCACAGAGGATTTTCAACAAGAGATAATAATGCACGCATACTACAGTAATGAGATTATTTTTACTGTTGCCTTTAATCCGCAGTGGATCCTGTCTTAGCAGTGAATCATCAACTAATCAGAGTAAAGAAAATTTCTATTTTATTTTTTCTATTTTTCTTACGACGAAAAAAAGAACAGAATTTTGAAAACTTATTTTTATTCGAAATAATGTATCAAAATTCTTTATCGTATGAACCTAATACATTAAGTATATATGTATGTACATAAACGCAATCCTGAGACAATAATCTAATGAATGGAAAAATTAAATTAAGATATACATACGATCATATACATACATAACATGCAATGTACATAACTGATGAAGTATAAGCAATTAAACCCTGTTCCTTCGATAATTTGATAATAACTAAAACTTCTAATATAGGAGATTGTGAAAGAAATTACGCGATGCGTGTATGTAAACCATTCAAGAACGTGAACTTGAATTACATTCCTTCCATCTTCGTAAGAAAGGGTTGGTACTTCTGAGTGAAGCAGCTGTTCAGAACGCAAGCATAAATCGTGTCCAAGGCCAACGTGAATAAAGCTCGAAAAAATTGGATCGAATTCGGCTCTTTACTTTGTGTATTTAAATCAAAGAGTTAGTAATATATATTTAATAGAAGTAGAATAATATATATTAATATATTAAAAAATAAAAAGTTTTATTTTTATAATTATCAAAACATTTTAATAATTATTGTAGCATAATCTTGTAAATTACAAGGTACTTATACAGAATATTCTATTATTTTATAATATCAATATTTAGTATTAATTAATTATACATTATATGATATTCTAGTTTTTAAGAAACATCACAATATGGACAAACCTGTATCTTCTGATATTGTACTTATTGCTGGTAATTCTCATCCTGAGCTTGCAAATCTTATCGCAAAGTAAGTTTCCATGAATATACATCTGCATTATGTTATTATATTACATGTATTCTTTTTATTTTAAAGTCGGTTGGGTGTTAAGCATGGAGGATGTTCTGTATATCATAAATCAAATCGTGAAACTATGGTCGAAATTGGCGATTCTGTACGTAGTAAAGACCTTTACATTATTCAAACTGGCACCAAGGATGTAAATAACAACATAATGGAACTTTTGATTATGGCATATGCATGCAAAACTTCTTCAGCAAAAAATATTGTCGGAGTTATTCCATATTTACCTTATTCTAAGCAATGCAAAATGCGTAAACGTGGTTGTATAGTCTCAAAATTATTAGCAAAAATGCTTTGCAAAAGCGGATTGACTCATATAATTACAATGGATCTACATCAAAAGGAAATACAAGGATTTTTTGATGTTCCAGTGGACAATTTACGTGCAAGCCCTTTTTTACTTCAATATATACAAGAATCTGTATGTAAATAGTATAACTGCAATATATTTTCATCTCTTATTTATAAAGCTATTCAATTAGATTCCAGACTATCATAATTCCGTAATAGTGGCCAGAAATCCTGGCAGTGCTAAGAAAGCAACCAGTTATGCAGAAAGATTACGTTTGGGTATAGCAGTAATTCATGGAGAACAGCGAGAAGCTGAATCAGATATGAATGATGGACGCTATTCCCCACCAGCCTTAGCATCACGAACAATGGAAGTTGGAGTTGGTGTCCCAATGCATCCTGCAAAAGAAAAACCACCAATTAATGTGGTAGGAGATGTGGGTGGACGCATAGCTATCATGGTGGTAAGTACATCTAAAAATGAATTTTATGAAAAAGAAATATATAAATTAAGTTTTATTTAAGGATGACATGATAGACGATGTTCAGTCCTATGTAGCTGCAGCAGAAGTTCTCAAAGAAAGAGGTGCATATAAAATTTATGTATTAGCTACACATGGACTCTTGAGCTCTGATGCTCCAAGACTTATAGAAGAGTCGCCGATCGATGAGGTAATAACACTAAAAATTAATATTAATAATAAACTTGAATTATGAGTTGCTGAAAATTGAATTAACATTACATATAACTTAGTTTAAAATTTTTAATTTATATTTGCTACTTACAGGTTGTTGTAACAAACACAGTTCCTCATGATGTCCAAAAGATGCAGTGTCCAAAAATAAAGACTGTCGATATCAGTATTCTACTGGCTGAGGCTATTAGACGTATTCACAACAAGGAATCAATGTCGTATTTATTTAAAAATGTCACTTTGGAAGATTAAAAAATATGATGAAGTAATAGATTTTAAATGTACTACATGTTTCCATATCTGGGGACCATACCTAAAACATATCTACTAAATTCTGTTTATTATTTTACAGATATTAATGAACATGCTAGTCTATGTAAAATTATGTCAGTGATCAAATTATTTGAATATCTTCATATGTTTAGATTTACCATATATATATTTCCATATTCATAAGACTATGTAAGTTCTATTAAAAAGTTTGATGTTCGATGTTAATTCAATGCTACAATATTATGAAAATTATATTTTATATTAAAGAAAGATGAGTATGTTTTAGAAGTCCAAAATCATAGATATATTATTTTACATTGTAAAATAATAATATAAGATTACAAAAAATGGGATAACTGTTTTATTTCCTTTAATCTAAAATCGAATAAACATTCGAATTAGGGCAATTAAATCAATGAAAATGTTGCTATGGAAATACACAATCGCGTAACGATAGTCACAATTTTGTTCCATTTTTAGGAATATAAACTTATCTCGGTTTTTCAGAATGTCTGTGGAGACTGTGAATCATAAATTTGTAAAACTTTGTGTTCTGTTGGAATCGGAAGAAAAGAAGCGACGTGTACTTGGCTTGAAAGAAATTCTACAAATTTTAGAATCACCACCATCCGAAAGTGAAATTATTGAGTTGTGGAATGCTGTCAACAAATCATTACATAAAATTTTAACTGATGCTGCTGAAATTTGCCGTGACAATGTTCTAGAAATTTTTCAATTATTTATAGCTAATTTAACGCCACATGATAATTACATTTTGTATTTACTTCCAATTTTATCAAGACGACTAGGTTCACAGGAACTAATAGAAAGTTCAGAAGAAGTTAGATTGAAATGTGTTACATTATTGAAGCTCTTAATTTTGAAATATAAACACTTATTGGCATCGTATATTGACGATTTAATTAAAATATTAATACGTACTATATCAGATAATTATCCACTAGTTAAAAGAGAAAGTTGTGCTTGTGTATCTGAATTTGCTAAAAATTTGTCAAGACATTTTTATGCTCATTCTGAGAAATTTGTGACGCCAATTTTGGGAAATTTTTCACACCAACATTATAGAGTTAGAATTGCTTCAATTAAATCTATTGGAGATTTGATTCAGTATGGAAATAGTAAATGTATTGAAAATGTGGCTACTCCTTTAGCTGAAAGATTATTCGATCAAAATGGGCTCATTAGAACTGGTATTTTAATACTTTAAGTTATTTTTATTTCAATTTTTTTGTATTTTATATGTAATAAGTATAATTCTAATTCTTTATAGCTGTAATAGAAGTAGCAGGTCACTGGCTCTTAAATTTGAAAGATCGGTATAGTTGGTGGCATAAAATTCTTCCACTGCTTTTATCAGGCCTTCATGATGAATTACAAGAACTTAGAGAAAAGGCTGAAAGTCTTTGGAATGCTGTAGGGGAATTATATATAACAGAAAATCAGAATGATGAAAAGCTCAAGGATAAAATGGATTTTCTTATCAAAGCGCCTCATCATTACCCTAATAGTAAGTATGTGGTTATTTTATATGTTTAATATAACTTATTTGTATATATTTACAGTTGCCAGGCCAAATTTAGGGTGTCGAATAATAGCACAGCAAACTTTCAGTAAATTGATTAATGGAATTAATTTAGAGTTAGGAGATTGGATGGCAGACATAAGAGTGAGATCTGCACAGTTACTTTGTGTATTTATTTTAAATATAGAAGAAGATGTAACACAACACATTGAAAAACTTTTACCATCTATGTATCGGTAAATATTTAATTTTTTTTATAAATTTTCTACAAGTGTAATATTCAATTACATTTATTTCTAACATATAAATTGTTCAACAGAGCCTGTAATGATGACGATATTAGAGTTGTAGAAAACATAGAAAAAGCAGCAGAATATTTAGGATATTTTGTACATCCTGAAATCTACTGTCGTTTAATACTTCCTACACTCGAAGAATCTCCATCAGTTGGTCACTTAAGAGTATTTTCTGCAATCCTAAGAAGTAGTGAATATTCCACACTTCTTCCATCATTGGAAAAAATTGGGAAATTCATGCAGCAGTCATATATTTGTCAAAGTAAAAAGACAGCATATCAACAACAAGTTTTTTCTTGCTGTGATTCCTTAATTTCAGTATGCAAGGAGGTTTGCTTCTTTTATCAATTTTTATATACTTAAAATTCTTTACCATTTATAAATGTCAATATAACTAAAAATTTATAGGATTGTAAAATTATATCAAAGGATTTATTCATAGTAACATTCACTGTTCTATCAATGGCAAAAGAACATACAATTGAGTTAAAAGCAAAAGAACTTTTAAATACTATTGCACATATCAATGGCTTCGACAATATGGAAAGTCTCTATTATGAATATATTGAAGGGTTCAATTCATTATTCTCCAACAGTAAATCATGGTCAATCTATAATCCCGAGTCTCAAATTTTTTGTGCATGCTTAAGTTATGTTAAAACAGTTCTCAATTTTAACATGAATATTATGCTGCCAATTTTAAAACAGACTATGGCAAATGACGCTGATCCTGCACTACGATTAAAACATTTCATTTTATTATCGGAGTATTTTAATCAAGGATCTTTACATGAAATTATAGATTTAAATTACTGTTATCAATTTTTGGAGAATTGTATATTTCCTGCTTTAATTTGGAGTGCAGGAAAAACTGCTGAAGCTATACGTACTGCAGCCGTATGTTGTCTGTGTGCTTTCTTAGAGAAATATAAAGCAGACTGTCTATTGGAGAAAGATCAATGTTTATCAGAAAAAAATATTCCTTCAGCATTGGATAAAATAATTCCTACTCTCATTAGTCTAGCAGATGACAATTCTAAAAAAAGTAGACTATATTCTTTAAAGGCTCTATATTTGATAGTGTGCATCAGAAAAAGATCTTGTAACATCACTGAAGAATTTATACACAAAATGTATCCTGTACTTTTAAAAAGACTAGATGATGGATGTGACAATATTAGATTGGCATCTATGGAAGTTCTAGTAAAAGTTTGGAGTTCTATACCTGAGGATTATAATTTACATTTCAATAAAGCTCATGTAGATACTTTATATACTACAACTATAATATATTTAGATGAACCGGAAAGTGAATTTCAGAAATATATACTAGGTAATTATATATATATATTGTATTATTACTATAATGAAGTTACTGCTAGTGTTAATACATTATAATTATATATTTTTTTCAGATAGTTTAAAAGAATTGGCGAAAGTGCATCCAGAACTACTGTATGAAAAGCTTCACAACTGCAAAACAAATTTTAGGAATCAAAAGGGCATGGAAATACTTTTAGAACATTGTCAATATATTTTAGAAAATAATTTAAGTCCAGATAACATGTCCAATAACGCATGATGTATATTAATTTAAAGAGAAATTCTCTTATATTTGCGATCGAATAAGTGTGCAATTTTGTTTTTAAACACAATACATCAACCAGCAATTATAATTTATGTTAAATAAATAATTATGGCAAACGCAAATGATTGTATACCTTTTAGAATATTTTAATAGCATCGTAAATGGAAATTATTAGAATGCCATGTCGGGGATTTTATAATTGTAAATAACCATACAAATTACAGCTAACAAATGACGTCATACATAACTTATGGTAGTAGTAATGGAGAGATATTATTTTGAATGAATATATAGTAATAATTTATGGATACATTTAAAAAGTTAATTCGTAAAAAACAAAATATGAGATTGTTTACTATATATAAATTTCTACATACATATAGTTATGCAGATGTACGTATATAATATGGATACAGATATGATACAATTGCAATAAAACGCGGGAAATACATCGCGTTTTCAATAAATACATAATTCAACATAGTCTAAATTTTACACGTTAACTAAAAGAAAGTGAGTAGAAATGAATTTATTTAAATCAGTAGTTATCATAATGTTAAATACAAGACAAATTACACCTTCGTACTACAAAATAATTTAAGAAACAACTGAAATAAGAAATTAACCTTGAATGACTATCAGAACAGGAAGTACCCGCCCTTTTCATGCCGCCATATTGTCCATGTCTTCCGCTTTGAGAAGCGAATCACAGAGGGGTGGCAAACAGGATTAAGAGATTGCTAATAATTTTGCATAAGTTTTCGTTCTTTAATCTTTGTCATCCTATTTTATAATTAAGGTAAGTTTACTATTCAAACATTTAGCTTCCTCCAAAATAGATCTATTTTCTATGGATTGTTTGTTAACAGTTTTGCACTTTCATCCAGACATTTTTTATCTGCCTGTCATTTTCCTGCTTCCAAATTGTTCGCCTTTTCTTTTTACAATTGTTTCATTTTTCGATATTTTTCGCAATTCTTTTATGTTATAGAAGGGTATAAGAATTTTAAAAAAAATATGCATTGTTATTACTTCTAATAATTTGATTTTTCTAAAAATATTGGTCCATAGAAACACAGTATATGACAATGTGTACAAGTTGATGCGTGTATGGGTGTGTATATGTGGACGTGTGTATATATATATATATAAATGTATGTATAATTGTATTGAAACTTTTAAAATTATTATTAACTCAAGATTAATATTATAATATTTATAATATCTATTTTCAATGCATACCATTGAAAATATGTATATATACTTGAATATAAGTATAAATAATGTATATATTATAAGATAAAAGTGTAATAATAATTTTATTGTAGCAGAGATGTCAGAGTCGAATGCAGATCACATAGACACTGTGGAAGAGGAATTGGAAGTAGAATCTAATTACAGACCTCCTCCAGAGAAAACAATTGAACAGATTTTAGAAACAGACAAAGAAGATGAAAGTTTACGTAAATATAAAGAAACACTTTTAGGAGAAGCAAAGTCTGGTGGTATTGTTGTAGGTATGCAAGTTATTAGTTAATTAAGTTTACTTAATAGAAGGTGTTACGTAAAAGAACTAATATTACATATTCTTTAATGAATTTTTCACAGATCCTAATGATCCAAGGAAGGTAATAGTAAAAAAATTAGCATTATGTGTTGCGGACCGACCAGATATGGAATTGGATTTAACGGGTGATCTGTCTCAATTGAAGAAACAAACATTTGTAATAAAAGAGGGCGTTAGTTATAAAATAAGGATTGACTTTATTGTGCAGCGTGAAATTGTGCATGGTTTAAAATATGTTCAAAAGACGTATCGGCTTGGAGTACCTGGTAAGTTATAGAAAAGGTTAAACAATAAGTATATGATAAATGCTTTGTCACTAACTTAAAATTATAAGTCACAATCGTCAAAAATTATCAATTAAACCTATATTCGATTTTTGTTTAATGTTTTCCTTGCTAGGTGTCACAGGTAATTTTAAAGTTCAATACTTACATATTAAAATTAATTATTGATTGTCAAGTTCATCAACAGTTCCTGTTACATTTCAGTGGATAAAATGATGCATATGGTTGGTTCTTACCCACCAAAAACAGAAGTGCAATCATACACAACTCCAGCAGAGGATGCACCAGCTGGAGTAATGGCGCGTGGTGCCTATAGTGTAAGCTCCTTGTTTACTGATGATGACAAGCATGAACATCTAAAGTGGGAGTGGTCGTTTGAAATTAAGAAAGACTGGAAAGAATAAGCTTCCTTTCATAACTGGGAGCCCTATAATGATCGCAATTAAAATAAAAATGCCAAAAGGGACTCTAATTTTGATAGCTATTCAACCGTAATGCGATGCCATAACTGTATTTTTTAAGTAATAAGAGAAAGAGTAATGTTGATATTTATTTAGATACTTTTCCTGAATCGTAAACCTTAAACATAAACAGTTTAATGCGCGCGCGTGCGTGCGTAAACACATAGAAACAAGCGCTTGCGCAAAAGCATATGACACATATATATATATATATATTCATATATATGCATGTATGTGTGATATCCACTTCATACCACCGAATCATATAGACACTATTTTGTAATTGTTTAAATCGTGCACAATGTTGATCAGTATTTGATTACTCTTACAGTATAGTTAACTATATCCTATTTTAATTTGTTTTGCTTAGAAAACCACAAATAAGATTTCTTAATACTATAATATTTATGTATTACTTCATTTGGGAAATTAGATAATATTTTAATGCATTTTCATTAATGAAAAGAAATATAGATATCACTTTTTCATTATGGCCGTAAAAAGG